GGTGAGGCTGCACCTTGAGTACTGTGTCCTGTTCTGGGTGCCACACTTCAAGAAAGACATTGAGGTACTGTAGCGAGTCCAGAGAAGGGCAACGAAGGTGGTGAAGTGCCTGGAGCACAAGTCTGATGGGGAGTGGCTGAGAGAGGTGGGGGTGTTTAGCCTGGAGGAGGCGGAGGGGGAGACCTTAACGCTCTCTACAAGTCCCTGAAAGGAGGTTGTAGTGAAGTTGGGGTCAGTCTCTTCACCCAGGCAACCAGTGACAGGACAAGAAGGCATAGTCTGAAACTGTGCCAGGGGAAGTTCAGCCTAGAAATTAGGAGGACTTTCTTAATAGAAAACGGTTGTTAGGCATTGGAATGGGCTGCCCGGGGAAGTGGTGGAGTTGCCATCCATGGAGGTCTTTAAGAAAAGACTGGACGTGGCACTTAGTGCTGTGGTCTAGTTGACATGTTGGTATTAGGGCAAAGGTTGGACTTGATGATCGCAGAGGTCTATTCCAACCTCATCGATTCTGTGAAAGAGAATAGCCCCATTCTTGTTCCAATGCAATTCCTAAATCTTTTGTTAATGAAGTATTCTCAATATGCTGTCTGTAGGTTGAAAATCACTATATTGGGTAATTTTTTCTGCATCCCTGTTTCACATATTTGCACCACCATAGGTACTTCTATCTAGAAAACAATTGGATAAGCTCACATAGACTCAGTATAGATGCAATTATACAGCTAAAATGGTGTTTTACAATACAGCTTATTTGCATAAGGTGAAACTGATGCAAAGTATTGTAACTAGTTATACAAGCACCTGCACCACCATACTAATATCACACCTCTGCTAGAGGCTTGCATATTCAAAACTATGTTGTGTCTCAGTTGGCTTAAATGAATTCACAGTTAATTGAATTTAAATTTGATGTCTTGGAGGTTCTTACGTTATCAATGTAAAAAGGACACTGAAGATGTGAAACTGGCTTTAAAGATCATCCCCATACATGGAGATACAGAAGCAGCTGTGATTTTTGTTGCCTGTTTGGTTTTTGGTTTTTTTTGGGTTTTTTTGTTTTTTTTAAAATTGTTCCCTGCATACGCAGAGAGATAGTACTGAGGAGTATGTTTAACTTCTGCAGGGAGCTAACTGGCGTGATTGATTTCTGCTAGTTTGAAAGAACAGGAAGATTTAAAAGTTTCTATTCCATATTTAATATTTAGTGGGATGAGTGGGGAGTGAGCTTGCTCTGAAGGGGAGTGAAAGGCTTCTGAAATGTCTTTCAGAATGTGAGGGAGGGTGGAGAGATGGCAGTGGGGAAGTGACAACCCAGGTTTGCAGCTGACTGCATGTATAAAACTGGTTTGTGCTTGTTAGAGGTTTTTAGTTTGTGTTTGGTTTTTTTTTTCTTTCCCAGAATGTGGATGTTCCTGGGGTTGTAAAAGTAGAAACTTTCTTTATAATGAGGCGCATCTTTAAGAAATTAGGGAAGTGATCATAAGAATCTGTAAATCAGAATCAGGGCAGATAAATGTAAACAGGTGAAGAATTTACCTATCAGGATTTTGCTGTTTTACAGATGGTATATAATCTTCCTAAATTTAAATAATGACATTAACATTTACTGTTGGCTTTTAACTAGGATTTTAAAAGGAAAGTAGGAATACATCAAAATTGTTGTTCTTATTAGTATAAATGAAACAAATTCACAAAACTTCTTTGCGGTTGATCAAATGTTATTGTGGCCTGTGTCACTCCTGGAAAATATTTAGTCTTGAATCTTCCTGCAAAGTCATACAGTATCCACAAAGAAAGCAGGAATAGTAATTATCCAGTTGGAGTGTGGGATAAAGAGCTTGTATCTACATCTCTAATTTGTAAAGACTGAGCAAAACTTATAACCATATACTGTATAGCAGCCTTCTCTCACAATTTAGTTGTTTGTATCAATAGCAACAGTAAGAACTACTGTTGGGTAGCTCATTGCTATTGATGTCAAAAGATGTTTTGGCCCTGCATTAACAATGTGTGTATTTAAAATGGACAAATAAAAATGTCCTTTGTGCAGAAAATGTCACATTTATCTTCAGTTAATGGATATACTAGGGATAACTCAAATTTTAAAATTGTGTTAGAAAATGAAGAGTAACACTTTTGTAAAACAGTACATTTTGGATTCTTCAAATGAAAATTGAGCATGAGAACCCTAGTGTTGGTGTTTCTGAAGTAGAAAGCACTAAGCTCCAGACTGGACCTGCTTTATAGGCAAATATGTTTGGATCTAGAAATGCTTGGTGTTTCTGGGAAAACTAGAACCCATAGCTCTAGGGTTTTGCACACAACATGCTCAAGGCGTGTAGAAAGGCAACCGAGGCAGCTGTGGTGCATATATTAAAAAGTGTGTTACAGAGCTCTTGTCAATAGCTTTTTTTTAAAAAAAAAAAGGCAACCCAACATCAGCCTTGCTGTAGAAGGACTTGATGGATAAAAATGGCATCTAAAGACCTAGTGAAACATGCTTCATAAAAATGACTTTAATGTGACACTGTGATATTAATTTTAAAAATCGTGGGGAAAGTGCAATATCCTTCACACAGAAACAACTCCCCACCTTGACATGTGAGTGAAGTTCACAACTGTTTTGTCTTCATGTATATTTCAACAAGCTTGTGCAAATATGGTGCAGTTGTTCAATGACAGGGGAATGTTTCTATATTCTGCATACACGTATCATATATGCTAAATATAAGTGTGACTGACATGCTGCCTTCTGAGCTTTCCATCTGAAAACAGGAATGAGTGATAATAGAACTGATTAAAAACATACCAAGTTTCAGTTAAAAAAAAAAAACACCACACAAAAAAAACCCCAAAAAAGCCCCACCATAACAAAACAAAAAAACCTCCAAAACCAACAAAACAATCATTATCATAAAGTTAATATTTTGTTTACGGTGCCCTCAGTTCTTGAAAATACATTCATACTGCATAATACTAATGCTTTTATTAATTTAAAGTATTACAGTAATCATACCGTATCCAGCTGGAGAAAGGCCCAGATGCTTCATTCTGTTTTTGACAAGTTCAGCAAGCTCCTGTCTTTCTGACCTCCTGAAAAGGTTCATTCGCTGCTGGTTTATCTTCTCAGCTGTTTTACCAGAGTGTCTTGGTACTCTTCTGCTCAGCCGTCGGGCCCACTGCATGCTTTTTCGTCGTAACAAGGGATGATCAGACTGATCACTAGATGTTGAGTTACGATGATTACTACGATAACTAATCTGTTCTTTGCTGTCTTTAGTGTCTTCCCATTCTTCCACGCTGATAGAAATTTGAGACTTGAAAGGAAAATGACAAGAGAGATTAAGAGCTTTAAAAAATGGAAACAGATTAAGATGTTCTCTCCTCTTTTCAACCATGCAGTCAAACGTGTGTTTTAGTTGCAGTGGAGCTGAGGGGACTCAGCTGTTTGTACTTAGCAAGTGTTCCTGAATTGAGCACCCTTTACTAGACTACTTTTATGTAAAAAGCTCATTTATGATATAAATACATTTCTCAAGTACAAAAACAGTTAAGCGTTATTTAGTGCCTGATTCCTTTTTGATTCTGGGAATCTGTTCTGCATTACTTCTCCACTTTCTTCCAAGTCTGCGCATTTTCAGAAATTCAAATTCTCTAACTGGTTTTTAGAGGTGTGCTGTGGACTCATTAAGTTCAACTTTGGCTACGCTGTTTTGAGTACTCTTTTAAGACCACAGGTGGAACATGCCTGTTACCTGTGTCTGAAATTCCCAGGCATTTTTGAGATTCCAGCACATAATATCTGGAATGCCTCTGTGTCTGAAAGTAGGGACATATGCAGTAGCCTTCAGTGTGATTCAGGGCACCTCTTGCAAAAGAGGTAAGTAATTCCTACCTTAAAGCATAGTGATGTTGCTTTTTCACTCATATAGTAACAAAAAAACGCAGACTGAAGAGCCAAAATCTAGCCCTCTGTTGCTGTGTTTTCTTCGTGCCACCATATTATGATCAATAATATACACCTACAGCTGTACTGAAATAACTCGAGTGGATGGGCTACATATGCAGTTCTAACATACAAAAAGACCACAGAGAATATAAGAGGAAACATTTCAAAAGATAACTTCTAAATTGTTTTAATGTATAAAATGAAATATAAAATGAAGATGATTTAAAAGTAGAGTTGGCTTATTTTGTATAAATCCCCAAGAATGGAATGAGTTCACAATATGCTGGAAGTGATAAGTGAATAAAGCAAATGTAACTGAAGAACTACTGAGGTTCTACAGGCTTTTTCCCTTGAAATAAAATCTGAAAGCGAGATTCTGTTGACCTCATCAGTGTTGAATATAATCTATCTTTAAACGCTCACCACCCTGTCCCACACAGAATCTGTAAGGTTCCTGGAGTCCATAAAATAATATTTGATATGAGTAAGTCTGACAGTGTGAGAAAGATACTAATTTTTTTTTCCCTTTTGCACAGACTAGTTTTATCTGATTTTGCTGTTGTTGTTTGTTTTATATTAAATTGACATTTTGGTTTTGCGTGTATTTTACAGTAAGGATTAAGGTAGGCAAAATACATTGCATGTGATTAAGGTGGTACTTATGGATAGGAAGGGTCTATTTGGTGTGAACAAATCTGATACACACTGAATATAAAGGATGGTCTTGTTTTGCCTTTCTTCCTGTCCGCATTGGTAGCTTTCCTTGTCCAATGCTTGGTAAAACAGCCATCTGGACTTGCTGGCAGTAGTATTGGAAAGGCAGAGAGCAATCATCCTAATTATTACAGGAGGGTAAGTCACGTTTTTTGAGCCAGAGATTAATCAGGAGAGGCAAAGTAAAAGACCAAGTCTTTTGACTCTGTGAATCTGTAAATCCGTAGCTTGAACTTTTGAAACACTGGGATAGGTGAGTTGAAACCATAAATGAAGGTGTTAAAAGTTAAATATTTACTTAGGTGACTATTCAGTTTTTACAGTGCATGTAGAGAAAGGTGTGCAGAATGGCCCCTCACTGTATGCAGGAGGAAAAAATTACACTATTGAAAGACAGAGCAAAACCAAAGAAACCCAAACCCTCTTTCAAAGGCAAGCACAAAAGTGTGCCGGGCAGTGACAGCTCTTTAATACACAAGATAAAAGCCCAGTGCAGAGTACTTCTGTGTGTCCCCCTCTGTTTTAATTGGTCTCAAACTTTCTTTAAAAATACTTTTGTAACTATCAATTTATTTTGAGGTTTGGTTGCTTTAGTTTCTTTTAATTTAATTTCTTTTTTGCATAGCTTGTAAACCTGCTGTATGAGAAGCATAATTGATGCTATGATGTCGCTACTACTATACAGTAGTAATTGATCATCTTGTGTTTTATGAAGTGCATATATTATTTTTTTTTGAGCTTCCTTAAAATGGAAACATGGTGAAATCTCTGGAAAATACCAAGGTGCATGTTAAGTCTTTACATAATCACTGCTGCTTTTACTGGGGAAAAATCTGTATGTCACACATTAAGTGAAGAAATGTTTGCCGTTAAACCTTTTTTTTCCTTAAGTTTCAGGTTTGTGGGGTTTTTTGGTTTTGTTTTTTTTTTTTTTTTGGGGGGGGGGGGGGTGTTTGTTTGTTTTTTAAAGGCAGTTTCCCATCTCAAGTATCAGACTGTGTGCCCAAATGGTTGTGATTGCTCACTTGTGCTGCTGCACATCTGTGACCCACAGGGGTTTTTCCCCTCGGGGAAGGTGCTCCCATAGGATTTTTCACACCCATATTTAAACACTCACTCAGGTTGGTCAGCATGTGGTAGGGATAGGAATGTGGTCATGAATACACCGGTGTTCATATTTCAGATGGTCAGGGTGGCTGTGAGTATAGTGGTAACAGTACTACGACACCAGACATCAGTTAGTTTCTTGGATCTTTGTTCCCTTGCCTTGCTGCTCCCTGGGAGCTAAGTGTGTAAGAGTTTTGATGTGCAGATTCATCTATTCTGAAGCAATGCCTTATTTTTATCTAACTGCAAGTTTTATGTTAAAATAACTTTACTATTCTGTATACCAATAGCCCTTAGTTGCATCTAGGGTTCTGGGAATGCTTTTCTGCTCCAACAGCTGTCTGAACCATTAAGTACAGCCACATATTCCTTTTTATGATAAACTTGGGGATTTTTGTCCATTAGCATTTAAGGTGTTTAGGATCAATAGGGACAGGCACAATAGGGACCAAATTCCATTGGGCTTTTTTGAAAGTCCCAGTCTGTCAGCTTTCAGATTTTTAATAAGACATTTGTGTCCAGAATAATGTTGCTTTAAGCTTTATTTACTCAAGGATGATCCACTGCATAGTCCCATTTCCTTTAAGGGTTTTACTCCCAGGGTTTAACCCAATGTACTATTTTTGGCTGGGATGGAGTTAATTTCTTCATAGTAGCTTGTATGAGGCTATGTTTTGGATTTGTGATGAAAATGGTGTTGATAACACAGGATGTTTTTGTTACTGCTGATCAGTGCTTACACAGCGTCAAGGCCTTTTCTGCCTCTCGCCCTACCCCACCAGCGAGGAGGCTGGGGGTGCACAAGGAGTTAGGAGGAGACACAGCCGGGACAGCTGACCCCAACTGACCCAAGGGATATCCCATACCGTATGATGTCATGCTCAGCATATAAAGCTGGGGGAAGAAGAAGGAAGGGGGGGGGAATTGTGGAGTTAGGGCATTTGTCTTCCCAAGTATCCATGATGGAGCCCTGCTTTCCTGGAAATGGCTAAACACCTGCCTGCTGATGGGAGGTAGTAAATTCCTTGTTTTGCTTTGCTTGCACATGCAGCTTTTGCTTTACTTATTATACTGTCTTTATCTCAACCCACAAGTTGTCTCACTTTTACCCTTTTGATTCGCTCTCCCTCACGGTGGGGCAGCAAGCGAATGGCTGTGTGGTGCTTAGTGCCTACCAGGCTTAAACCACGACACCCAGAAACTGGCAGACAATAAGCAAATACTTACTTGTGAAGCCATTTCTCATGACTGACAAAGGAAGGGGAAAAAGAAAACGGAAGACAATTTGAACAGAAATGAATCTAAAGAAACAAACATGGACTCTTTAACAGGAACCACAGAAAATCAGCTACACAGGTAGTAAGCAAGATTTCATATCTCCTTTTTTTCTTTTTCATGAAATGGAAATGGCTTGAGTCATAGGTGCAGGTCATTGAGAGGCAGGCTAGATTTGCTTGTTATTGAGTAACTAGATCACTGAAAACTTGCTTGCTTTTAAAGAAATATTTATCTGTCAGAGTGAAGTGAGGGTTCTCATTTGCATAGTACAAAAAGGGAGCGTCAAAGGAGAAATCGTACATATAGGAATATTAATATTGGCGTATTTTGTCCTTGTGACTCCAGTTAACCATTAACTGACAGCTTCCAGGTGTGTGCAGTCAAATTAAGTTTTATATATTTGTTTAAACTCAAACTGATATACATATTGGAGGTTCTCTGAGTTAGAAACCTTCAAATTATGGTTAGAAGTTAGTAATTCCTGATAAATGTAAATTGCTATTTTTTTCTAACCTCCATTTTAAAGATCTCATCTAACAATATTTCAAAGTTGTTTCTGGCTTAATACATTGAAAAGCCAAAATGATAGCCAATGCTTAATATTATTAGTGAAATTACTTGAAAATTCCTTTAACTTCAAAGGAAACATTTTGCAGAAAGATTACAGCTTTCAGCATCTCTGCATTTGTAGTTATCTACCCATAAAGATCACAGCAGCAGAGCTAGATGTTGCTCATCTGTATTCTGGGGAAGAGCTAGGTTAGGGAAGATTCCCTTGCCCTTGTCTAAAAAGGGAAGGGTTTCACAAGTGCTCACCCACTAAACAAGAAACTGCTGAAGTATTTAAGTGTGGAAATACCACTGGGGGGTCTGCATTCAGAGCCTTGTGCTTTTTAAAGAGAGTAACAAATGCTTTTACTTCACTTAATAAACAAAGACAGTTCCACTCTTCCACATTAGTCCAGTACCTGACAATTTGAAACCTTATCTAGGAGATTTCTCTGCCCTCCCATCCCCTTCTTCCTCTACCTGATTTAACTCAAACTCTCCATGAGATTACCTGTGAAAGCTAGTAGGAAGTAATAGTAGGACTCCTCTTATCTGTTGGACAGCGGCTTCCAGGCTGGTTTCAGTGCCTGAATGTTTTAAGGAATTGCTTCTTTGTAAAAGATAATCAATAACTATCTTAAACTAAATTAAGTATTCAAGCACTTGAGCAGCTGCATGTGTACAGATTTCAGAGGTTCGCAATGTTATGGTAAAATTGCAGTTTAGAATTAAGTGACTGATGGTCCCAAACCTTGTTTTCAGAAAAACATTTGAAAGATCTTTAACTTATCAGTTAAGCTTGCCTCAGAAGACTTATTTGAGTGTGTATGCTTACGCCCCCAACCCCCTGCCAAAAAAAAGTTCATGTAGAAAAGATGAGCGTTAGTTTTATAGTTGTCCCTCCTCTGTGCAGATGCTGTTTGCCAGTCAGCCTGTATGTTTGAAAGCATGTGAAAATGCAGAAAGGAAAATATCAGGCCACCAAAATGCACTCTTCACAATACGTTGTATGCTCACCTTTCAACTGTTCTTGATTCTTTTTTTTTTTTTTTGGACCTGAGGTTAAATAGCCAGCTGTGAATGTGAGAATAAAGTATTGCCATGAATTTTATCTTACTTATCCTTATTTAATGAATTCTTAAAATCTGGCATGTCTTCTGCTTTGTTGAAAGCTACAACAGACTTTTTTTCATATTAGCAGTGATGCTGCCTATATTCTTCTCCAAGGAATGATTTTGATGGATTATGTTAATACTGCTATATTTTTTTAAAAATCAGCTGATATTATTGCAGTGGCATGTTCCACTGGCTAAGCTGTAAAAGCCACCTGTAGAGGTGTTGGTGGTCCACAAAGAGACACTAGTGAACTTGGTGGAATCTTGCATAGCTTTTTGTAACCCTTATTTTTAAATTAACTGAATGTTTGTACTTTCTTCAATATAAATCTTGCAGCTAAGCATTACATGGCTTAACGTTTTATAACATTTTCCTGAAATATGGAAGAGAAAATACAAATTGTCTGTCTTGGAAATCAGTAAACTATGTCTGAGTATTTCAGAAGAAAGGAGAAAGATGTTGTTCACTTGCATTTTAGAGCTGTATTTGAGCCATGGTTTATTGAGATGGCAGTACTAATGGTTATGTAAACAAATGGCTTATACATGACAAATAAAAACAGCACAAAAAAATGTATGTTAAATAGTCAGGAAAAAGTATTTTTGTCATTATACATATGTAGGGAGAAATGCGTACACTTATATGGCAGACAAATACATATATACAAAAAATTACTACTGGCAGCTAAATTTAGAGAAATCCCACAATACTTTTAATAATGTTAATTCTCTTGTTCATTTCTAGTTAGAAATTCATGTGGATACTGAAATGCCACCTGTTTTGAGATATAGTGTTGACATTGTTGTCACGACTGATACAGGACATGGTCATACAGGTTATTACGGATATTGCCATTAGTCACCAGAAGCAAGTTCGGACTGGATCTAACTATCCTAGCCTGTCCTGTCTGTGCCTGAGCTGCCCTTTATTTTCAGTCAGTTCTCTGTAGGTGAGCACAACAATGAAAGTCAGGATGTAGACTGGCTCTGGGTATTCATGAAGACTGGGGCTGAAAGTGAACCCTGAGTAATATGACCACATACATGTCAGCAGAGGAAGGGAGACCTTCACTGGGTTATTGGAATTCTGTGCGTTTGCAGATAGGGCATTCACAATATTTTTTTAAATAAGTGGTTCCCATTCTTATAAGGACCAAAGAATGTTGTATACTCTGTAATTAAATCCAAAGAACAGTATAGGAAACTTACATACCTCAGATGTTGTAAGCTTTTGGGATTCTGTCCTATAGACTCCAATTGGAATGTCTCCTGTAGAAGAACAAAGTTTCTGATACAGTCTGGCATATGTCCTAATCCATAGATCCTCTTCTGTGATTTTCATCTGAACAAATAATAACAGGAAGGAGGACTTTTAACTCTTGAAGGCTTATTACTTGTTCACTATACTACTCTTGAAAAAACTGTAAAACTAAACACTAGTTGGTAATGATCCTATTGTAGTATTGCACCTTTGCTCCTCAACAAATCTGGAACTTCTGTTGAGTTTGTAGACACTGTTTCTTTTGTTCTGTCCCTGTTTGGGAGACATTGCAGTGCAAACAGCTCAGTCTTATGAAATTACTTTCTGTTCTTGTTTTAAAATTACCTAAAAGCTTATATGGCATCCTTCATCCAGTGTTCATATCTGACTAAAATATAAAAGAATGAACTAAATATTGGCAGCAGTAAGAAACTGGTCATGGACAGACTGAAGAATGCATGAGTATTTTGAATGCATTCAGGTAACTGTTCACTAGACTGCAGGCTGAATATTTGGGGAGAAGGGAGTGGGAGGAAAGTAATACAGTAATCATAAATAGCATAAGAAAGTCTAAATCTCAAGTATTTCATTGCTATTATACTAGCTTTATTTCAAGATATATAAACCCCTTTTCAGAGATTCAACTGTCTTGCATTCACTGTAACAAAGCTTAATGATTGTCCAAAAAATCCATAATTGGTTTTTATTTAAGTAACTTTCTCTAAACCATCATTGATAACTTCCTTTTTGAGAACAACATCCTGCAGTTCTTTATAGTTCCCCAGAAAGCAACTGGTAAATAACTTCTTTTGATCTGTTTGCACCTGGGGTGTGATGGGTGTGGGAGAAAACAGAAAGGTGGGGTTTATTTTTAATAAAAATTAAATTTTTATGTTTTTTGTATGTGTGTAAATACATATAAAAATAGATATAAAAAATAAACTCTGCGTTGGGGAATAGTTACATACATAATAACAAGATGACTTTTGAACTTTGACACCTAGAATAAAGTAATTTAATACATCTTATCTTTATGCAAAATCCAGTTCTGCCCTTTATTGCCTATGATGGAAATGGATGTTGTGAAAGCGCATTGTGTGTGTATGTGCTAGCCAGGCTGTACAACATAGGTAGTTCTTCCTGGTTCCTGAACTGTCATTTCTATTTCGTATAAAATGCAGTTTTCCTGTGTTTTCCTGTCTTTCCTATTTTCCTTTGTGCTTTATAGAATGTATTGTTTTCTTGCGGCGGGGGGAAATAGCTAAAAATGGGTATGTTTTCTATCCAATTTTCTTGTCTTCTCCCCTGGTGAAAAAGGAAACAGATGGCCTTTCTTGGACTTTCACAAAAGGAAGTGCTGTACAAAGACAGTAGAGGTATTTTGCAGACAGTACAGAATCTTCTCTGGTACTCTGTAATATATATTTTACTTTTTTTTTTTAACAACTTACAGAACAAAGAAACCCAGATCCTGGTGTGGTATCAAGTCCCAGCAGAAGTCTTGTGATAGAAATCATATAATCTTTCACAAACGACTGCAAGATTTTTAACAGGAGAGACAGAAAAGAAAGAAAAAAAGCTTTAATGAACAGATGAGCAGGTAACCATTAGTGCCATGTGTGAATTTCAAAGAAATTGTACATCTGTGTTTACAATCAATCTCTTTATCTTTTAAGTATCTTAATGACTGTAGAAATAGCTATCCCTTTCTTTGTGCTGAATCTACTTACATAAAATAAGTTTTCTTATTTGATTCTGCGTATGCATGCAATGTACATACAAGATTCAAAGACACTAAGGCATAATAAGGCATTATGGAAGCAAAGATGAATGTAGATGTAAGATCAGTGGAAGTAAGGTGTTAGCCTTATTAGATGTGAAATTATAACAATGAACTCTTCTGTGCGAAAGAAATGCTATCCTATGTTAGAAGAGTCTGCAGTACTGAGTAGTGGGTGACTAAGGTGACACTGCTATTATTTTAATTTAAATAAGGCATTTGCCTCTGCCAATCCATGTATTTTTTTAAGGGTTGATCTGCCTTATCTCAAGTCAGGCCTGTTGCTCTGCTAACAGAAGTGTTTTGCTGATTTGCTAAAAGGTAGAAATTAAGCTAAATGCAGAAGTGTAGGATAAAATTGGGACTAGACATTAGATCAGCTGGAATCACAAATATTTCTCCTCCTTGTGAGTTGGGGTGCTGGAATTAGATGGCCATGTGGGTGCTCTGCTAACTGTGGTTCATTGCCACCTCTTCTTAGGTGTAGTAGGACAGCATTCAAGGCAGACTATCAATCCTTGCTGGAACACAACTTGCAATTAGCTCTCTTGGCTTAATGCAAATGTGGAGCTAGCAAACAGGTTTTAATAAAGAAATACCTTACAAAGGTGTTATATAAGTCCTTTAGACTTACAGCATCTGAATTTGTTTCAACTCAGAAGCTAGACAGATTTAATTTGATGCATAGTGATTCAACTGTTTTAATTTTTGTATTGGTAATCTTCCAGTTGTGATGGGGTAAATGCCAACGAGCATCTTCTTGAAAAGAAGAAAATTCTTTGTAACCTTCGCTTATTTGTTATCTTGGCTGCATCATTTATACTATGGAATTATCATTAGATTACCAAGTGTATTCACACGGATTTGGTAGACCAAGTCTTCATTTTTCAGTCAGTGTCCTAAAAATAATTCCAAGGCTTTTCTTTTGGCCTAAAATAGGGAGCTCTAGATGAACCCCACTGTTTCCCATGTCAGTTGCTCTGTTCCTTGTATGCAGAAGAAAAAGATGTCATACAGAAAAGGATGGGACCATGAAAAAGAACAGAGAGAACTTGCTGTCATAGTATTTGTAACTTGGAATAAGGAAAATAATCCTAGAAAAACGACAGTTCACCTGAGCAGTAGGAGTTCAAAGAAAGAATGGGTGGAATTTCAGTGAGAACGAGTGTGTGGGGTTTTTGTTTTAAACATTTTCTGGTGAATGGTTTTACTCTGTCAAGTCATAGCATGACTGATCATGGCTAGGAGCAAATATAAAATATTGAAGTTACTTATGTGCTGGTAGGAGTTATTGATGATGACAGATCTGTTTCTATATAGGTGTCTCAATCTACTTTAAAAAAAATTTTGCCATATGTAATGTTGATATTCTGGGACATGATTAAAAACGTGTTTTATAAGCAAATACATTTATTTCTAAAACATCTAGAATTTGATAAATGGCTTTACCTCTGTTGGCTTATCTGCTTTTTGTACCTGTCCGTGTACATGACTGTTTCATATATTAATGACTTTTTGAGAAAAGCTTAGCTCCAGGAATTTTTCTATTTACGTTGAATTTGCCTTCAGGAAATTTATTTGGAAGTAGAATTGAAATGAAAGAACACCTTTCATGCACCAAATTACCAAGTAAACTAACTTCATTGAAACAACGTTTAGTGCCTGAATACAAAAGCACCCACAGGCTACCTGTAGGTATAGGCGAAGTAGGTAGCTACTTAGAATAGAGCAGACTACGCGGGTCATGGTGGTGTTGCTGCTTATTCTATGTACCTTGAAGGCTAGCGCTGGGTGCTGCTCCTTGGGCATCCCGATGTATCGGGGTGTGCAGAAAGGTGGTCATTGCTGAGGGGCGAGGGCAATATTCTCCTCTTTTTCCACCCTGAAACCAGCAACTACTACCTTCATTTGTCCTGACCCTGTATTTTCTGATACATTGTTTCTCCAACTGTCTGAGGCTGTTGTCCTTCCCTTAACCCTGCTGACTGTCATCTCTTCTTTTTGCATAAGGAGCTCTGTCCTGGATTCTTGGGCAACAAGGTTCAGTGCTGCCTTTTCTTTCCCCACTGTTGCTTTGTAACCACTGCATATATTTCTTGTCAGGGCCAGAATGGGTCACTTTAAAATATGATGACTCATCATCTGGAGGTCTAGTCAACATGAGTAAAAGGACAGGACACTATGAAGTAATTGAGGCCTCTGTCAGCAAATGCAGATGACTGATAAATTAATCACAAAAGTAATTCTGTTGATTTTTGTGGTTAGAGACACTACTTTGTGGGAATAGGCACTGCCTTTTTGTTGCAGAGTACAAGTGTTATTAGTCTGTATAACCTGTATTTTATGTAGGCCTTATCAAAACTATCCTGCTTATTTGACTGTGGAGAGGTTCACAAACATATTGATTAACAACAGAATTTGTGCAATGACAGAGTGATTTTGGGGTTGATAACTGAGCTAGTACTGTCATGTGGAACATGCTCCGTTATCTTTTGCCTTTTATTGTTCCTGGTACAGACCTACACATTGATAGCTTACATGTAGGAAAACAGAGTCATCTAACAATTAAGTACAATAAAATCTGTGGTAACAATGCATGTCCATGTTAAGGTAAGTCACGTTATTGTTCACAGTACCTGATAAAGCAGCGTATCCAACATACTGATGCTGAAAACCCTGCCAGCAGCAAAGGGCAGTCGAAACATAAATGCCAGATTAGATCCCTTCTCTCGCTCTTTCTGTTAAGGAATTAAAAAAATAGAAAATACTTTTAGTACTGGTTTTGGAAGGACTATAATAAAAACATCAAATTGATATTACCTTGAAGGAGGTAAAAAGTGTAAAATCCCTTTACTTTGAATATATTTTCTTTCTACAAATATGTGGCATCTTTGTTCTGTACCTAAGAGTCTTTCAGGTTGAAAGATTTTTGTTTAATGCGTATGTTGTTTCAATCATCACATCTCAAATTGCATGTGTATATTCTAGCAGATCCTTTTAAAATGATTGAAGGATTTCAACCGTGCTTAGAGCAAAGCTCTTCTTATTCCTGCTCCAATTTCTTGGTGCTGATAGTGGACTCTCAATCAGGTCCAGAAAGTCTACTAGGAAGAGGAACATGAAACATGAACGGAATCTGATGCAAAAGGGAATAAATGGTATTTCAGTGAATGTGAGGATGTGAGATGAGATCAGACAGGGACTGGGGTAGAAACTTCTTGCTCTGCTTCTGGGGAAGGGATGCAGAAAAACGTAACTATAGTTACGCCTTTTCCTTAGCATATGTCACTTGCAGAGGAATCACACCACAATGTGCTCCTTATTCCCTCAGTTATCAGAGAGCAAAACTATAGGTTGGAAGTGATTTTCTTCTTCTAAGAAGAGAGGAAATATCAAGCTTTCAGTTCAGAGATGTCATGAAGGATAAGATGTGTTCTCAAAGTAGAGAAATGTTACACGTCTTGGAATTGAGATGCTTATATCCACCACATATACGCAGTAGTAGATGCTGGGGGATGACTGGCTGGCAAGCAGCTCAGCAGAAAAGGCCCTCAGGGTGGGTATAGGACCAGAAAAGGTCTTCAATGTGTATAAATACCTGAAGGGAGGGTGTAGAGAAGACAGAGTCAGGCTCTTTTCACTGGTGGCTAGGGTCAGGACAAGAGGCAATGGGCACAGACTGAAACACAGGCAGTTCCTTCTGAATGTCAGGAAACAAATTTTTACTGCAAGAGCACTTGAGCACTGGCACAGGCTGCCCAGGGAGGTTGTGGAATCTCCCTCTTTGGATATAATTAAAAGCCCTTGGGACATTGTCCTGGGCAATGTCCTGGCTCTTGGTGGCCCTGCTTGAGCAGGGGCCATAGGCAAGATGGTCTCCAGAAGTCCCTTCCAAGCCTAACCATGCTCTGATTCTGTGATATGCAAATGACCAGTCTGTTGTAACTAATGGTGGTGTTGAACAGCAGCGTTCTAACCCTTGTTTGTCATTGTTGAATAGTCTGGTTGCACCTGTTGATTTCTGTGGCGTCATATGGGTGGGATTGAAAAAAAGTCACACACAAACAGTTTCCTCTCCAGATAAATGTACATAGCAAGTAACTCCGAAAAACATGACATTGATCTGTCCTTCATAAAATGTCACCTTTTGTCAATCTCTTCAGAGACTGAAGGGGTTTCAAAATTTTTAAGGAAATAAAATATTATTATATCAGTTTTTTTTTTATTCCAAACATTCTCTATGTTCTGACCAAATAGTACTGGCTTGTATTAGAGTTTCTGCTCCATGAGAAATGCATACATACATATACGCTTATGCTCTCACACACATATGCACACACACATGTGCTTTGATGGCTGAGCAGCAAAAGGGTGTTTCTAGCACGTTGTGTACTTGTGACAGCTGAAGAAGAAAGCAATCTAATTGTACAAAGAACACTTTTACCTAGAAAAGCAGACCATTGTGCTTACTGGTGTAAGCCACAGAACAAGAACTTGTGTATTTCTTTTTTAGTTCGATCTCATATATTCGAGTGATTTTCTTTTAGAGCAGAAAAAGTAGATTTCTCTTCAATTGCTATTGAGAATAAAAACTTGTGTGTGAATTATGGAAAAACTTGTAAGATTTGTTTTACAACAAATTCTTGAAAATTAAAACTACATGTATATTATAAAATACGTTACATTAAATCTTTTTAGATTCATGCCATGAAATATTTTATAGGGAACTGGCTGTGAAGTGACTATCCTCCTATCACATGACTCGGGCATTATGTTTATCCTTCCATCTGTTTAGAGAAATTTGCAGCAGATTCTGGTTTTGTGCCAACAAAGGTGGGATAAGGCAAGAGATATTTGGGGAATAATTTGATTCTTATCCAAAATTCTGATGATAAACATAAGGATATTCCTATTTGTTTTATTTTAAAATGGAAGCTTAAAAATTTATTATCCCCCTTTTATTTTAAATTTCTTATATTGTTTCCTTCCATCTTTTATTATAGGGTTGCTTTTTCTTTATTTTTGCTTAAAAGAGATTTGTGAGAAACAGTTTTTAGTCAGGCACTTTGCATTGAGTTCTGCTTTATTACTTGCAGACTTACTTGCTTCCCAAAGAATACTGTGGATGTAGAAGCCAGAAATGTGCCAGAATGTCTCAGCTGTTTTATTTCGTAAGTGTGATGCCCAGCAGTTCCTTTGCTGGCACTTTTTGGAATTAATGAAGAGGGGGATATAACTACTTAAAGAAAATCACAGATCATTTCTAGGAACATAAAAAAAAAAAGATCATGGCATGAGTGTGTCTTGTAGAATTTCACATATATAGATGACATTTTAAGACATTAATAGATGGAGATCATTACTTCATCCTCAATCTTCCTATGTTTGTGGCTTTGCTCAAGTCATGAAGTTCAGAATTTTTACTGCTTTCTTTCTAATAACAGGTGTACACTTGTGGTTTTGAGAAGTTCTTAGCATGTGCTTGCTCCATATATGCCATTTAATTTTAAGTTAATCAATTGTTTCCTTTTGGGTTTCCATATTGTCAGAATACCAGAGATTATCTGCCCAGAAGGTCAAGTTCATAAGCTTTTCAGTTTATTTCCCTCTTTTCTACCATTTATATTTGTGTCAAATCATTTTTAGGGTTCTTTATCATGATTTTATCTTTTTACTATTTCTAAATAAATACCTATTCCTTCATAACAATTAATTCTGTGATACCAATAATCACATACCAACCCCAAACGAATCTCAAGCCCTCTTTTGGCTACTTTGTCAATGGCTGAAAGAGATCTAGGGCCCATCTTGATTTAAGATATTCTCCTCCAATATAGACATTAATATGGGAACTGCCATGATAGGCTGTAACTGTTGTGTACAAAACCCACAAAGTTGCTTTAATGAACACACAAGGATATGGCAGGGGAGTGGGCATGCTGGGGTTCATGCAAGAACATGTAAAAGAGACAGAGGTAGTGGCTTATTACAGGGAATAGTCAGTGCACTGTTAGTTTTGGTAAATGTCGGTTGTTGCCCATGTTGATATAGGACTGATCAGAAATCTGGGCATGGAAACCTCTTCACAGTACCTTTCTTGACACAAGGGATTTTGGATTGATAACACTTCACCTCTAGAACAGTTGGACTATGTGTTCTTAATTGCTTCTGTTCTACCTTTTTGGTAAGAACAGATTCGTTTTCTGTTGTTGATCTGGAACAGCTTTCTAAAAATGTGCCAGTTCAACAGCCAAATGTGTATGCTAATTATTTATACAGTTTTAGAATTGTAGCTGATGTAAATCATTAGAGATCCATCTAAAATAAGACACCAATTAAGAGGTACCAATCTATTTTTTTATAAGCCATATATCATTACTGCTTGCTGTTATTTAATGTTACTTCAAATCTGCTTAAAACCTGAACACTATTAAAAACAAAAGGAGACAGCATGCCCTATCCTTAATTTAAGGTGAAAAAAGCAGCCTGGCTTTGTGTATGCCACCGCAAATATACTGGGCCATCCCAGATACATGTTAGGTGAGCAAAAATCTATGTGCTTATCCCTGTGGAGGATACAAAATCACAGTATTGGTTTGATTAAAAGATATAGGAGTTTGTACATATTTTAAAATGATTACTTAAAGGTTTAGAATTTTTATCCTTCAGTTAACACCTGCAATACTTACTTGGAAAATAAATAAATAAATCGCAGAAAACTAAAGTGTTAATCTTATCCAAGACATTCTAAACCCTTTCTTTCAAGGAAGAGGGAGTGGCTTCTTTTTTTTTTTTCCCCCCCTCATCTAAGACAAGTAAGTTTTAAGGAAAAACAAAGCACCCATGGTCTAAACTTTTCTCTGTTGTATAAGGTCCATTACTTTCTCCTATGTCAGCACTGAGTTTGGTGTTCAGATTTATTTATCTCTAAAATGAGGAAAGTTGCAGCTGCAACAGCAGATGGACTTCTGATTTGCATATCTTTCTTCTGCAGCCCATTAGGTTGAAAAGTCAATTTTGCATGTGTGTTTCAGTGCTACCTGAAGGCAACTTGCCTGACATTTTTAGTCTTTCTGAAAATGAGGTGCTTAATGCAGAAATAACAATCAACTGTACATTTGACTGCCTTAGATGATTTTTACTCCAGCTTTTAATTGCCTTTCATTTTGCATGAGGGAGTTCTGAAACATCAAATGAACTACAGCACCACCTGTGAAGTGCTCCCTGTAAATGTTAAGATGAAATGAATGGGAAATATCAACAGCCGGCAACTTCAAGAGCAATGAAGAAAATGTTCTTTCTTTAAGATAATTTATCTATCTCTATTTCAGCATAGCATAGTTTGGATAGGAAGTTAACTGTTCAGCTTCCAACTTATATTCACAACTTTACATTTGCACAATAAATTAATAAAGATAGGGAAGAAGTTATATTTCCAATTATTTCCAGAACATTTGCTGGAAAAATGAAGGAGCCTATGTGAAGGAAGAAAGAGAATGGAGATAAAAATCCTGGTTTGACTGCATTGAAGTAGACAGGCTACAGCCCGCAGAGTATTCCAGAAGCAACTGTAGACACCACATGCTGTGAAAGCTGTTACTATTCTTACTTCCCTTTATCAATAAACTGTATGGATTAAGGGACTTTGTTTAAAAAAAAAAAAAAAATGCTGTCAGTTATAGTACACCAAGGAACTAAGTTAGGTTGGAACATAGTCTTGAAGGTGCCATCCAGCTGTTGGCATTTGTTGCCCTGAATAAACTGGCAATACATGATTCCAGACAGTTCCATCTTATTCTTCCTGAAGTTACTCTTGAGGGAAGGAGTGCTAAAATGGAGGAAACACAGGTGCAAACCTTAACGGATAGTGGGAGTGGCATGATCCAAATGAAGATGTGCCTCTCACTGCAAACTGCTCCTCTCTTTGTGTAAAAACTGTCCAGCTTCCTCACAGTTCTCCAACTGATGTGCTTATCAGAATATCACCCAAGTAAGATTAAGCCTTTGTTCCATCTCAGGCAAAGGTAAACAAATCACAAAAGATCACCCAGATATTTACATCTTGTGGTCGAAACACATGATAGTCAACTGAGTAAAAGATTGACTTCTAATACTTATCCTATCTCATCTAGACAGGCTGAATTTTTGCAGAATTCGATTCCTGACTAAGAAACTGGGAGCTGGCCTGTGAAGATGTTTGTATGAAAAGGCTGGTTTCCATTAAATATATATTAAAATTAACTATGTCAACATATACAGTAAACAGTGAAATACTGAAATTCCGTAAAATATCTGAAATCCCCAAAATCTAGGAAACTTACTGTACAGCTAGGAAATGGGAATTATATGCTAAAAAATATATGCTAATTCTGTATAATGATAATGATTTTAGCATAAATTGAAATTTCCCAAGACATAAGATATCTGAGGTAAAAAGATTGGGAGGCTACACAAGAGAACCTAGCAATAATATCTAGATTTATAGCAAGGGGAAAAAGAGAGGACTGGAGTGAAAGATCTCTGTCCTTGAAGACTGGCACAGTGATTTTTTTTTTTTTTTTTTGTCTTGCTCTCAAACTCAGAAAATGGCCTGAAAGATCATGAAGGTGATACTGTAAGTTTTGTGGACTGCAGAGGTAGGTAGGTCTGATCACCAAGGAAGATCAGTGAAAAAGAGGATTGTCCTTGAATTTACAAAGTTAAGCAGATGCACAATATTACTTCATATGCTCTATCTAATGTTTTAGCAATAGTATTTTGGACAAGCAAATTAAATTAAACTTATCTCCATATAGCCTCCTTATTCCACAGCTTGAAAATGCCAACATGTGCACTAGAATGTATAGAATATGAAGGTTTTATCTAGCATTTAAGTAGTGTCACTATCCTTATCACCACTAGGACTGCCCTTTGACAGAGAATAACCGCTGTTCTCATACTTATGTCACAGTAATGCAAATACCCCATACAGATAGATACATGGAAATGTATACAAAATATGTAATTACAGTGCCTTTAAAGTGAATTGGAATAAAAAATGCATTATAATAAAAGCTGTATATGTTCTAAGTGTTTAGTCAATTAAAATATTTTTGACATTAATTGCCTGTGGCAGCCTCTTGAAAAACCGTATTAGCTCTAAATATTCAGTTATCCAAAAATACTCAATTTTCCTTGAGCAAATTCCACCAGAGGGCTGGTAGATTAATATTACATTGTAAAGTGATGGAACTCAAATCAAACTTCATTCTTAAATGAGGGTAGAATTTGGAAAAAATAATCTTTTACATTAGCTCTGCAACCATAAAATCATTTCACTGTTTCCGCTTGTTTTGAAAGCATAGTTACAAAATCAGAAAGTCTTAAAATTATAACATTTAAATGGGGGTCGGGGGAGGCAAATCTCCTTACCTTTTCCAATTTGGATAGAGCAAGAGAATAGCAGTCTTTGGCTCTGAACTGCATGAATCTCATATTGGCTGGGTGAGTTAGTTCTGTGATAATGCTTAGGCTTGAGAACAACCTGTATGTTAAAAGAATGTGACAGTTAGACCTCTTACATTTGTGAGTTATTACAATTAGGCTCTACATAATGCTATAGCTTGTGCTTGTGTCCATGTTTTTAATGAAGTCCCTGAAATCTGCAGTGTTTTTTGGCAGAATGAAATGCTGGTCTAATAGCAGAGGAAACTACTAAACATTCTCTGTAGAATTCACAAAGAAGCAAATATACATTCAAAGGTTGAAGTTATAAAATATTTTAATGCTAGAAAGGAACCACTTAATTTCACAATGCTATAGCTTGTGCTTGTGTCCATGTTTTTAATGAAGTCCCTGAAATCTGCAGTGTTTTTTGGCAGAATGAAATGCTGGTCTAATAGCAGAGGAAACTACTAAACATTCTCTGTAGAATTCACAAAGAAGCAAATATACATTCAAAGGTTGAAGTTATAAAATATTTTAATGCTAGAAAGGAACCACTTAATTTCACTATCAGAGATTTTATTTAATAATTTCTAAAATGACACAAATCTCTAGGAAACAACAAAAAATGCAAAACTATATGGCCTGCACTTAGTATCTGGTTGCATGTGAACTACCATTTATTAGAACTGGCTTATGTATTCTTTCCATTTGACTTTTTTCTTCTTTTTTATTTTTTTTTTTTTTGAGTTCTGTTTATATGCTCTGTGTCCACAGACTGAGCAACATAGATGAAAATTGACACTTCTTGGGAGCTGCTGAGAAAATGTATGCTTATGTATACTTATGTTCTCACTTTGAAATATTTATATATACATATACAAAAATATTTATAAGTTAACACTAATTCAGGTTTCCAATAACAAGAAACAGTGAAGAAAGTTTAACTCAGATCTGGCTATGCTCTGTGTCCACAGACTGAGCAACATAGATGAAAATTGACACTTCTTGGGAGCTGCTGAGAAAATGTATGCTTATGTATACTTATGTTCTCACTTTGAAATATTTATATATACATATACAAAAATATTTATAAGTTAACACTAATTCAGGTTTCCAATAACAAGAAACAGTGAAGAAAGTTTAACTCAGATCTGGCTGAATTACACAGATTTTCATGAAGCAGACTAAAGAGCCCCTCTCTAGCCCTCGGGGCTCTAAGAACTAGAAAGAAATCTGTACTTTATGCTATGCCATATGCTATGCTACTCCAACTTGGAGTAGAACTCAGATTATTATTTTGAGTATTTCTACAGATTAGTGTCAGAAAATGAGATGTGCATTTGTAATCTGTTCTGCTGATCCTGAAAGTACTAATCTACATGTGACAATAGATAATTGTAGTACTAATGACATCTTTAAAGGTGGCTTCTGTTTCATTCAGATAAAAATTAAAGTGGTTTCCTTGCAAGCTGAATTTAGTAAGTTAGTGTCAAATGGAATCCAATGTACCTTTTTGCAAGTCTTTAGTCTTTTTCTCTCATTTTTGTAGGGAGGCACTTCACTGAAATGGCAATTCAAGCAGAGCCTAAATGTGGGGAAACGTATGTCAAAACTATCTGCCAGTACGTGTTAATGCCGTATTATTGCAATACAGTTTCCTAGATCTGTTGATGGCAAAATGTAGACTGGTAATGATCACATGATCCCAAACATGTTCTGAACACATGATCATGTGACGGTCGAAATGTAAGCCATCCTTATGTTAGCAGTTCTCATGGATCTGTTAATAACCAAATATTAAAAGTGATCATATGAGGAAAAATGGACTTCACAAACTGTGTGAGAATGTGAATCAGTCAACAGTGACCATTTGTGTGCACTGTAGTTTGAAAGGCACTGTGCATGCTCAGGAATTTCTGTACCTTTTTAGCTCTTAGACTTTGATACAAACTCTGAGTGGTGCAGTGTTGTACAAAGTCTACTTACATCCTGCTAATGATTAAGTACTTAGGGAATGGAATTTACATGCATAGATTAAATACATGATAACCACACCCTTGAGATGCAACTATGGTACATGACTTCACTTGTGTGCTGTGTCTTACAAAAACCTGTGAAGTGCCCATGAAAATTGAAAAAAAAAAAAAAAAAAAAAATCCTGATAATATCACACTTGTAGGTATGAACTTGTACTTATTATGTAGCTTAACAAATGTGTTAAAGTTCTGAGGAAGGAAAATAAATTTCCTCTGCAGTAATTTTGTATCATGTAGCACAGAATTACTTAAACGTCTGCTGCCTGGCAATTTTCTTGTATTGCTGTATTAAAGGACAAGCATTCATATTTGAAAATTAGCAATATAACATTCAGAACTAAGAGTAACAGGAAATTAGAAGCTGACCTAATGATAAAATACATAAAACTTACAGGGAAAAATGCAGGTTACTAGATTTCTGTTAAAGATGGGTTTAGTTATCACCAAGATATGAAAACTGATTTATATTAGGAAACTTGTTTCAAACCTGGTATTGGTAAAATTAATATTTTACTTATGAGTGCCTTTTAGTGGAACTAGGGAAGACAACTTTCCAGGTAGTCAGGGGCAAACTGCCTCTTGCCCTGGGTGCAAGGCACACTGCCCACAAGCTTCCAGCACTGGAGTAGGCTACTTCCATGCAAAGATCCATCTTTTCTATCCCATTCTGGAAAAAAAAGGACTGGATGGGGTGGAGAAAGCCCTAATCAGCCTGATGGAAGATGTGGGTTGCTGTTGAACTAGTATTTGGGAATCAGACAAGCACGAGATACATTTAGTTCTTTCCTGAATCTAAAAGATAAACCAAGAAAATAATGTAATGCCATCATAACACCTCATTTGGTTTATCTATAAATTGGTGTTGACTGCTAGATACTAGTCAAACTACTGAGTTGTTAGGTGTACTGCTGTCAATAGGCTTCATGCAGTATTTGAAACGTAGCCTTGAAGATGTTAGCTAATAAAAATTTAAAAACAGGGCCTCCCAAACACCAACACTTATATCCATTAATTAATAGAAAGCAAGAGTAAATATAAACACTCCTCCTAGTACAGACCTACTGCCTGAGGAAATCCACTGTTTTTTCTGAGATGGACTTATAACTGTCAATAGGGATTCAATGGTTGGCTTCATATATCATATTAAAATGTGAAAAGCATCTCTAGGACACAGTCCAAAACTGTACTTTTAAACTATGCTAACTTGCTCTTTCCCATCCAAAGGATTAAAGATTTCTTTCTTAGTCAGTGCAACCACTTAAGTCACACTTCTTTACTCCTTTTAACTATAATGAAGTCAGATAAGCCAGTGTTGTGTCACAGGTTTTTTTTTTAATTGCTATGGAACAGTTTCTAGCCTTAAAGGTGCTAATAACCCTGTTGTTATAAACAATGCATCTGTCTTCTAAGGTGTGGGGGACACACACTCTTCTGGCAAAGCTATATTATTAATTTATCTAAACCAGGGAATAGTGTCAGAACAGGTATAGGAGAACTGGCAACCTAGGCCAAACAGTACCATAGCACACTTACATCACCTTTTCAGGCCTGTCTGCAACCCTTAATGAGGTCAGCTGATCTGAGTCAATCAAATCACTGAGGTTTAGATTAGCATGTATCTTCTGAATGATTTCACTTGGTGAGACTTAAATGGAATCTTCTTCATTGATGTGGTATCCTTGAGAACAGCATATATTAGCAAAACTCCAGTGGTTTAAAATCCTTCTTTAACACTACAGTTTGTGTTAAGTGCTGTTGTTCTCCACCATGTCCAGCCTCTTCTTCATTAGTTTCTGATATTATTAGTTATTATTAAGTAACAAAAAACCTTTAAACATATTTTTAAAGTTCATTTACAAAACTGTTTACCTTGGTGCAATGAAGGTAGTTTATTCTGTAGAACAGGTAAATGCCACTACCTTATGCCTCTTCCCAAAGCTTACTTATTTCTACAACTTTTACATAATATAAAAATGCAGTGGAATTATCATACATGTTCTAGGGGAAAAAAAATTAGGAAAAGATTTATAGAATACACTACTTGTGAAAGTTTACAAAGTTTTCTGAAAAAGTATTGTTAAGTCTTAAACCAAGATATTCTGATTTTTTTTATATATTTGTAGAAAGTACCATGTAGTCTTAAAATTATACTGAACCAGATATGTAGCTCCTACATGAGTTAAAGCTGCCATCTAGCGGTAGGCATTGTGCAAGACAACTGAATAATTACATCGTTCTAGTCGGGTACCTATGGTACGTAGTGTACTAGTATGACATTTTTTTTTAGCATTTTACGAAGTAGAACACAATGATGGGAAAAATCAACTGGTACTTTGTAAGTTTTATTTTTTATTCAACTCATTTTTCTGTTTTATATTTAGAAGTACAATGTATTTCTGAAAAATCTAAGCAGTGTATGTCAAAACCTCAGTGAGATACCCTAGTACAATATGGTTAAGAGTAGACTTGAATGATACACAGATTAAGTTCAATTATAGCTTCTAAATTAAATTTACATGTGATTATGAAACATGCACACCTGTGCTAATATCAGTTACAAATTCAAACACTCAAAGTTAGAAAAAGAACTGAAGTTTCTTGTGCAACGTAAATTTTCCTTCTTTTGAGCACATGCAGAAATGCTAACAGCATTTAACTGCATTCACACATGGTTGTGTTAAAAAAAACCCAAACGTTTCTTCATTGAAATACTTGTGTTTTAATGAGCTCAGTTTTCTAAAACACTGACAGATTCACAAGATTTTTAGTATGAACCCCTCTCTGGTCTTATGTGGAAGGCTTGACACAGAAAAGAGCAGCAATATTGAACGATACTGAATCCTCTAGGGAAAAATTAGTTTTGTCCAGGCCTTAACAGAATGAACAACAGCAAGTGCTAGGCTTACGCCCCAAATCAGGGAGGCATTTCATAATTGACTGTAGTGTGTTTTGTTTTGTTTGGGGGGGTGTGTGTGTGTGTGTGTGTTCTTTGTTTTGTTTTATTTTAAGCAAATAAGAACTTTTTTCACACTTTAAAGGCACATGTATCTTTTGGTATCTGTTGAATCAAGATATTTAACAGAAAGCGAGGCTTTAATCAGGAGAGGTTATCAAATGAACAGGAAATCTCAGTTTAGCTCTTTATCACAGCACTGCCTTCTCAGCCTCTTTACTAGATTGATCTTTTTTTCATTCTATATTCAGTTATTCCTTCATGACCCTTAGTATGTTGTTGTCATATGTAATGTTGCATATATGTGCCTAAACCTAACTTTTGTTTAAATATTCAAAATGTGAACACTTACTACTAACTTCATAGCGATGCACTGGTTACCTTTTAGAGTTAGAAGGATCTGCTTTTCATACTGGCTTTAGCATTACTGTGAAAGACTGCTGCACTGAGGAAAAATTTATTTTCTCAACTATCTTTGGTCCTAAGTCTTCAAGAGTAGCTTTCTCTTCCTTTCTGCAAACCTGACAGTTGACTTTTAAAATGATCATCCAGTTTTGGGATGCATGGAATCTCGTTAGAGATTTCAGGAAAATACCTCAGGGTTCTGAGTGTATTGCTAAGGAGGGTGGGAAAAAGTTTGCCCAGGTAAGACACACATTCATATAAAAGAAAACTTAAGTGGAAGAAAGGAAAAAAGAAAAATATCATTTCTTATCTGAGTATAAAAGGCATTAAGTATTTCACAATTAATGAGGATGTAGAGACAGATTGCAAAAATTCCTTACCTAAAGAGTGTTTGAACATTTACAATAGTCTTAGCATCTGCCATGTAGTCTTCCTCAGCACTCATTGTACTTTCTTTGTCCACCACCACCATATTAGCTGCAAAGGTGACCCCACATCTTAATAAGTCATCTAGGCTTTTGTGAAGAGAAAGAGGGAGAAAGAAACAAACAACTTAAATATGGAACACTTAAAAGATTAGGGATGGTTGGAGTTTGCAGATCACAGGCTGAGTTGCTAGTTCCCTTCATGTACCTATCATAACTTCCAATATTATCTATATCAAGTATGTCATCTCAGTTAATTGATAGAATAGAATATGAATAATTATTTTCCTTGAAGTCGTACAGAATGCACTTCAGTAGGTTCTTACAGTTCCTTTCCTTTTGCTAAAATGATAAATTTATTTCAACTTTTTAAAATAAGCTTTTAACAGTTACTTGGGAAGACAGTATGTCCTTACATGCTACAACAACCTGATTTATTGCAATTAATTTTGGCAATAAACAGACTCAAATAAATGCTTTAGGTTGCTCTTTCACACAATTCTATTTCAGTTTCTAAACGCTAATAAATGTTCTACTAGGACATTTAATACATTCCTCTTTTAGATTAATCTATCAGTTGGAGTGTTCTCATGATGCTTTTAGGAGCAGGTGTGTCTCAGTAAAACTTTGCACGCTGCTGGACAATGTTTCCTGTGAAACCTGACCATAGAAAACACTCACAGACCACTTAGTTACAGTTCTCATCATGCCTTATAGCTTTGCTTCTGAAATGAAGCATGTTTCAGTTGTTTTAACAATAATATTTTCCACAGAAACAAAGCACTTTCCAGAAAGTTTAGAAAGGACTTTTCTGTAATGATAAAGACTGCTAGGAACCTAGCAATTTTTAAGTAACTTGAAAACATGAAGAAAGGATAAATTTAATGGTTTCCAAGGGAAACTGGAAAACTAAATTTTCACATCATTCTGTTTACTTGCAAGTTGAAAAAGCTGTCTCGTCATTATAATTGCTTCTCATTTGGCAATCTATAATATTAATTAAGTCTTAATTGTCCTGATACAGTTTTTCTTTTCAGAAATGATCTTGGGTTTCTAATTTAATGTAACCTATTATAAATTATTTTTGAAATTTTAGGAAAGGAAAACTCTACAAGTTTTTGGTATTTATTTTATATCTTATACATATTCTTCCAAAACAAATACATAATAAAATTATTTTTGAAACTGTGCAACATCACTGATGGTTTGACTATAACAAAAGAAAGGCTGTATTTTATATGATCTATACTAACAACTTCAGTGCACAAGTAGAACTCCAAATTTTCTCCGAATAATTATATTTCTGCTTTTTCAGTCTTTCAGTTGATCTCTGAAAATAGCAGCATATTCTGAAATACACAGATTTTCTGCGTTTCAACGTTTCACACGCTCAACAGCTATTCTTGTTCTGGCATTTACATTCAGCTAATTTGTGGAGAATTTAAAAAACACTAATTTAGAAGTAGTATAATTCTAGTTCTCAGGTACCTCTAGCTATAGGTTTCTTAATACTGAATAGATTTCTACACAACTGTGAAATCTGTTCAGTTACAGATCTCAAATAATTTATACGTGAAGACTGTAGAACAGATATCTACTACCTGATGACATATTTTGATGAAGTTCATCCTAGCTATGAATTTGGGTAAAGCTATTTTTCTGCAGGCCATCCAATTCTAACAAAAAGGAATGGTAAATGAGAATAATTCCTTTGGTAGTTTTCTCTCTCAGATAATGACATTTCATGCCAGCTGACCAAATGACAAATAGGTTAGATATTTAAAGGTAGTAGGTGGCACTTTGGGAATATATTCTATACTCATTAAATAAGAAAGGAAACTTTGCATATTTTACATTGTCATTCTTAGCTAAATCTATTAATTGTACATGATTTAAAAACATGTCTAGGAAGACACAGGGAATAAGTATGAACTATATCTTTTAAAGTGTTGTTGTTGATGAAAACAGATGTCAAAAAACCCCCTACAAAATATGATAGGTTATTGC